GCCGGAATCCGCCGCTGGAAGAGGCCGGTGGGGCTGGAGGGACTTCCCCAGCTGAGCACAGCTCGTTATCTGAGAGGCTCCACAGCAGCGCAGGCAGGAACTGCCCAGAACCGCAAGCGAACCCAGAGACTGAGCTGGTCAAACCCTTGGCGTTTCCTTTCCATTCTTTCACGCGTTATTTAGTTGAATACCTGTGTCAGTAAGTCACGACTAATGTTATGTCATCTGCTGTGCAGCCGTGGAAGGCGTCGGAAAGCAGGCGGGATCTGGGTTTCCGTGCAGAAGGGCAGGATTTCAAGCCGCCTGCGGGTGTATTTTAACTGCTGTTTGAATTCGAGTCAGTGTGCTTTTGGAGGGCAGCGCCTGATCCTCCTCACCTGCAGCTTTGTAGCAAGGAGAGGTTGAGATGCACACCCAGGAATCCTAGATGGGAATTGAGTCCACAAGACATGCTAAAATTGCTCTGAAGCAAGATTCCTCTGAAATGTCTATGTTGTAGTTGTCTGAAAACTGCACGGGGTTTTCTGAATGTGAGCAGTCCCAAGAACTGTCCATATGTTCCAGCAGAGTAGATCCCCTTGAACGAGTCCATATGGGAGAGCCGATCAAAGCCTGAAGCTCCCAGCTCCGAGGACAGCACACCAGCCACTGAGCTGGAGACTTACTCTCACACTTGCACGTTTGCATACTGTGGCTCTCAACTGCTGAAGCTGCTGTTTTCTGAAGAAACACATTAGATCATGGGAAGCTGAGGGGTTTCACGTAGTCCCCCAAATGCTGTTTAATGCCTCAGGTCCCTTCAGACAGAGAGGGGACCTGAAAACACTGATTTATCTCTGCTCTTGAGTGCCTGGCCCAAAGATCTGGGATGTGGGAGGGCACAGCATCTTTCTACAGCTATGTACACAGAAGAAAGAAATGATCTTTCCTCTCTATTTTTTTTTTTTTTGGTGTGTGTGTGTGAGAGAGAGAGAGAGAGAGAGAAAAGCTGCAGATTCATAAATCTTACAGAAGGGTCACGGTAGGACATATCAGCTGGAGAGAAGTGCCTCTTCACAGCCCCCAGGAAATAAGGCAGCATTCTGAGGACTAGCAGGATGAGAACATCCCTTCCCCAGGTTTTCCTATGGGTTAGAGCAAGCGCATTCTGCTCCTTGTGTTGGCTTTTACGAATCCCATTTTTAGGCACCTGATGCTGTGCTGGGAGATAGACACTGTGATCCTGCAATGTCGTGATGGTTTAAGCTGCTTGAAGTTACAAGTGCCAGTCTGACTTTCTCCCTGCATTCCAGCCTGCCTGTTCCTACCCCTGGGGATATCAAATTAACTCTGCCAGTATGAAAAGTTTCATACTGCCATAGTACCCCAAACTAGCTTCTTTATCATGTGGCCAGCCAAGGTGAGGATGCTGGGAGAAACACACATTTGGGCAACAGGCTGGCAGGACTGCTGTGACCACCTTCTAGTCTGCTCTAACCTCTCATCAGGTCACCCATTAATTTAAGTGCTGCTTCTTGTATCTGCTTTCTGCAATCTAGAATGGGTCCTTCATGCAGGGAGAGCCCCTGAGTTTGTTTTCCTTTCCATCAGCATCATATCATGCACACCATCCAATCATGCTGATTTCATAGCTTACTCCACCTTCACGCTGCAGTCAGACCATAATCTGCAGGCAGGGGGACTTATCCTGGACTAGTTGCAATTTCCCAGGCCTCACCAACAGAGAGGTTTACAGAGAGCTGGTGTGCAATTAACCCTCTGCCGGCTGATTGAAGGTGACAGGACGTGCAGAAGTGCTGACCCCCTGCTCTCATGTGCAACCGCCCATCAGGGAAGCGTTTGCTTGCACATGCTGGATTGAGTTGGCGCAGTGCACAGTGACTGAAAGCAAGCACCACTGCGTGAAATGAAGGTGATTTGACTCTCAGTTGGAAAAGACCATCCACAGGTATTTCCTAAATCTGACAGGAGAGTGTAACTACACCTGTTTTCAGCTGAGATCTGAATAGGCAGCTCCTTAACCGAGGCAAACTAGTGCTGTTGAGGACAGGCTCAGGGTACCTCGGTTCAAACTGAATATTTAGATGCAAGTATAGATGAAAACTAAATGTTATTTTTTTTTTAATTCCCATATTTGATCATCATCTCTATGGTTTTGCCAGAACAATCCCAGTCTATTTCTACAAAAGCTGACTGATGTCTTTGGCCCTTTGCTTCTCCAGCAGCAGTATATTAAAGTTACAGCACAGAAAAACCATTCAATATTGAAGAAGGAAATACTAATAACTGCCTAATAAAAGTCTTAGTAAGAAACAGTTTACTCCTTGCCAACAGTGGTAAAATTTTTGGAAGCTGGAAATAAAGATATCAGAAGGCAGACACATAAAAGGCAAAATCAACCCCATAAGGAAGGCAAGTTTCTAGAAGAAAATTACTCTGTAAAACTCATCTGGATTTTAGAATATTTATTGTTTTTCTTCTGCCCCTCTTTTCATGTTCAAAGTGGATTTCAATGCAGTAGGTACATATGAGCCCAACTTTAAAACCAGGTCTTTCCTTGCTATTAGCATGTATAAAACACCAGGAAAATAATGTCATCAAGGCCCTTACAAAAAGTCCTGTTTTAACCTTTTTTAGCCCAAGGGAGAGGCTTCATGGTGGATGCCAAATGGGAGTGCCAGCCAGAGGAGTTTCATGGGCCCATAAACAAATGTGCCAGACTATGCAGCACGTATATAGCATCTTCCAGAGCAGCTTCCCTCACTGGAACTGAATCTGCTCTAAATAAAGTCCAGCCATTGCTTGGACAGCTCACAGATTCCCTGTGCCAGGCTCCCCCAGGTCACCTCCCTGTGAGACACCCAGGAGGGTGGGCAGATGTTCTGAGAGCTGAGCAGGACAGTGTAAGCTATCCCGTTCCCAGCTATGGGTCTGGGATGCTGCCTACAGCAA